GCAAGGCAGCGGGGGAAGCGAAGTGGAGGCTCATTTACTTGTCTCGTCGTGACGCCATATGGTTTCTTTGCTATTCTTGAAGATTCAGTTAGTCTCTGTCAATCACATGTGCCGTGTGACTAAAATGATCATCCGCCAAACAACATGTTCCTTATTTCGGCAGCCTTCTATGTGGATCCATATGAATTGGCTATGCGTCAACCAGGTCTGAATTTCACTCTGCACAAACCGAGGTCTCGTGGGAACGATTCTTCTGTTCTGGGACGTTGGCTTTCTTGGTTTTCAGGTTCTGAGCCCCCAACGGACGACACAGTGCCTGATTTGATGGAAGTCCCGATGAATCGAAGTGAGGTTGACGTAGAAGCACCAGCATGGATGTCCGATGCTATGACTTTATGTGTCCACCCTCCAAAAACATCCGCAACTCATGATCAAAGTTATCCCGTTGTGTTGGAAGTTCCCATGCATATCAGATATAGGTAAGTAGCCTGTCCTTTACTCTTACGTTTATATTGATAATCACAGTTGTCACGTTTGGCTAAGTGTCATTGTTTCCTCCGTGAATTGACCTTTCCAACAATAGCTACACATTCTCCGAAGCTAACCGTCGGATGAATTGGTACCCTGTCATTCGGACTTGGTTACGTATATAAATTGTACTCGTTTGTAGTGAACTGATATACAATCTACAATAATGGCGCTCACTGTTATTAGCATGAATCTTACGGTTTATGGTGGTATGCACTCCAAAAATTATCCCTCCCCCCTAATTCGTTGTTTTGGTCTTCCCTGCACAGACTACCGAAGGATGATGATACCTCTATTGATCGTACAGCGCTGGCACACCCGACGGTCAAATGTGACGACGGATTCGAATACAACACTTGGAATAGTGTACCTCCTTTTGAATTACCTGTTCCCGTGCCACCTACAAGCGACCTGCTATTTGTGATGCCCGTGACTATTTTGCTTTTGACAGTGGGTGTCATTGTCCTTTTGGTCGCATAGAGATTCTCCGTCAGTCGCTGAACATTCCATGTGTCTCACACCTCATTAGTTTTAACTCCGAATTCTCACTGATATTTTTGCTTTAAATGTTGCGGTCATTATTCGTTACTGGTTCCGTCAGAATAATTCCGGTTCTCATTTGTGTTTCATTCATTGTTCCTCCCACTGAGTTGTGAATTTCCTTGTAATTTAACATCCGGATTTGACCCTAGCACACCTAAATCTCTTACACTTGTGGGAGTTTAATGTGCTGCTTACTATTGTATTTTCTATGCCCCTATTTCCGATCGTCCCGTTTTTATTCAACCATACATTTGAATTCCAACCTGAATTTTTTACTAGTTGTCCCAGTCTGTTCACCACCTGGATAAAAAACGAATAAGGTGCCCGTGAGGTTGTAGTAGAAACAAACACTCCAAATTCCGATAGAAGGAAAGCAAATGTACAGGGAATCGATTGGAATGCTTCAGGTATCCTATCCTTCCAAGGTTGATTCCGAATATCAGATCGCCGGACTGGGTCTCTGCGATGATTATTGGACCGCTTCTTTTCATTATTACTGCGGCGCTGATTCTGATCAATGCCTTCCAATGGTAGCAGTTTTGCTTCCTTTCTCTTTACTCGTCCGGTGAAGGAAGAACGACGATGCAGTCAAATAACAGAGTGCATGTTCTGAACAATTGTAGATCATTATAAGCGAATTGCACTGGTTTGGGCTGGTATTTTAGCAATTTGGGCTCAGGTTCCAAGGGAAGTAATTGGTTTCGAATGATCCTCTACTTAGTCAGTGCGTTTTTCTCACTTTCCTCACGCTCCCGTGTCTACTCTAGGGTTTGCAGGCTCACTCTCAATGTAACCGTTGTACGTTTCGTGAAGTGTCTCGCTTTGTTTGTGACAGCCGTATTACTTCAGGGTTCTGACAGAAACGCCGTTGAAGCAACTCAGAACAAGGAAGATCCGGTTTTCAAAATGAAGATGGACCAAAAATAGTCCGATCAATGCGCGGTTAGGGCCAGTTGATTTCGAGGGAACTGTTCCGGCTGTGATCCGCGTTATCGTGCAAAGGTGTAAGTATGCCATAAAAGGGCGTTCACCTATACGTATTCGGGTTATTACCAGGCAAACAATTTGTCTG